TTTCAGAAGTGGGTGGCCAATCCTTCTTCCTAGTCTGTCTTAATCTGAATGTTCAGATTTAGAGGAGTATCTGACAGACAGCAATTTGTGGAGCAGTTAAAGATAAATCCCTTATTGTGGGGATTTATCTTTAACTGCTGCACAGTAAGGGATTTATTTAGAACAGCTTCTAGCTCACATATTTTCTCTTCCTATATGTTTAAATAAAAGTCCTTCAGTTCTACAGAATTGTAAAAGCATTTTTAGAAACATTTCTAGTCTCCTTTTAGAGATGCTCTCTACAATTTTTGTAGAGAAATATTGTCTCTTCTTTAGACCTTTTCTTAAGACTTAATTGAAAAAGTGCCATACAGCCTTCCACAGTGGTTATACCATTTTACACACCAATAGCGAATAAGGGCTCGAGTTTCTCTGCAACCTCGCCAGCGTTTGTTGTTGGCTGCTCTGTTAAACTGTGCTATTCTTACTGGGGTGAGATGTTATCCTATAGTTGTTTTAATTTACATCTCTCTTAGATCTAAGAATTTTGATCATTTCTTCATGTGTTTGTCATTTTAATGTCTTTTGTGAAGTGTCTGTTCATATCTTGTGCCCATTTTTCAATTGGGTTGTTTATATTGTTATGGTACTCGAGTATTCAATAAATTGTAGATTTAAGTCTCTTATCTGACATGCCATTACCAAATATTTTTTTTCCCTTTTTTTTCTGTGGTTTCCCTTTTTACCCTGTTGGAGAAGTTTTTGGATGTGCATAGGGATTTGATTCCTAGAAGGTCCCATTCATCCATTTTATCTCTTCTAGTTGTAGGTTTTTCAGGATGCTTGTAAGACTGTTTATGTTGTGGATTAGGACTTCTAGAGTACTTCCAAGCTTTTTTCTAATGACGTTTATATTCGTAGGTCCTTGATCCATTTTGAGTTGGTTTTTGTTTATGGAGTTAGGTGTAGATCTTGCTTGAGTTTTCTGCAGATAGTTTTACAATTTTGCCAACACCGTTTGTTAAAAAGGTAGTTGTTTTCCCACATAACTGATTTTATCTCCTTGTAAAAAATCAGTTGACCATAGGTAGATGGGCTGATTTCCAGGTTCCTTTGATCCTTGTGTACCAGTACCACACTGTCTTGACCATCACGGCAACAGAGCAGGATTTGAAACTGGGGAGTGAGATGCCTCCTACCTTGTTTCTCTTTTTAAAGAGTGGTTTGCTTATTCATTTCCCAAAGTATGGCGCTTTCTCAAAAAGTATGAAATAAAAAACCATTTGGCCCAGCAATTCCACTACTGGGAATATACCCTAAAGAAACCAGAACTGCCACCCAAGCAGATATATGCACACCCATGTTTACTGCGTCTTTGTTCACAATAGCAGAGAGTTGGAAACCACCCACGTGCCCATCAACAAACGAATGGATAGAGAAGCTGTGGTATATTCACACAATGGAATACTATGCTGCATTGAAAAGCAAGGAAATCATGAATTATTATACAAAATGGGTGACCCTGGAGGACATTATGCTGAGTGAAATATCTCAGTCACAAAAGGACAAATATGGCATAATACCATTCTTATAAAGCAGAACTGACATTGAAGTTGGGGGAGAACTAAGGAAAGATGGGATAAATGATGTATACTGCATTGAAACAGATGAGGGAGAGAACTGTTTAAAAGGGATATATGATTAGGTATTATTGTCATGACAGGAGTCCAGAATGAAGGCTGCCTAGTGGAGTGGACTGGACTGTGGGGGAGGGATTGTATAATAATGAAAGGGGTTTTTTTTTCTTTTTTTTCCAAAGAGAAGAGCGAACTGGGTGGGGAGGAGTGGGCAGGGAGAAAAGTTTAACAATGAATGAATGGAAATCCAAAGTCTCTGTAAACTTTCATTAAAATTAATTTTTTTAATAAAAGAATTCTTATAAGTAGGTAAAAAAAAGACTTAATTGTAAGATTTTGTTTGTTTCTTATTTTTCTCTACCATAAATAAATACGACAGGAAGTGGTAGAGTTATTGGTTTCTTCTAGTCAAATTTTATTGAGAAGTTAGTATTGCTTATAGTCATCCGCTTCCATTAGCCCTTATATTTGGCCCTAAAAAATGAAATCCTTTCACAGCAGTAATCTTAGTCATTGGTGACGTAAGGAATAGCTTTAATTTCCCTAATTATAGTTTGAGTCTAACTCTTATGCAATTTATGCATCTCTTACAGCAAGATGTGAGTGAGTTCACACACAAGCTCCTGGACTGGCTAGAGGATGCATTCCAGCGAGCTGTAAATACTAAGTGAGTGTTGAGGATTTACTCATACCATTCCTCCTACTCAGTGTGAAATATAGAGCATGAAAGAAAGCTTCTGTTCTCAAGCAGCAACAATTGGTTTTTACCAAACCCCATTGGGTAACAACTGTGATACTCCTTATCTCCGCAGATGATACTGTATATGCCCATTGCCTTTAGGTTTTCCCCTCTAGAGATATGTTATCTTAATCTGACAACTTTTTATTAAAGGAATCATAATTAACTTTATTAAAACCTGTGCATAACCTGTATTGTAAAAGTCAAATAAATTCTAGGTAAATGAGCATGGTGGTGGTCTAATGTGGATACATTAAATTTAATATAAGATACTTTTGAGCAGAGGACATATTTTAGTGACTGGCGAGTGAAATTCAGGGAAAACATTCGTGTGTCACTTTTCTAGTATACACTGAGAAATTAATTTTCTAAATTGAGCTCTAAATAGAAAAATTGTCTATTATAAAATAGCTTTACAATTAGTAACGTGTATAGTTAGTAACTATTTAAGGTGTGCAGTAGGAAAAAACCGACTTCAGTTTTCCTTTTTGTGTGCTGTTGGGAAGTCCTTTATGTATTTATTTGTAAAACCACACAAGGATTTCCTCTTTCTCCTTAAAGTCAAGAATCATCCCTTATTATCTATTTCTCTGAAAGTCAACACAAAGTTTGGCCTGAACTTACCCAGTATTTAACTGTAGAATATAATGTGGCTCTCTGAGTTTATACAGTACAAAACTTGTTACTTTTGAATGATAGTTGGGCTTACAGTGGTGAACATCTGATCAAAATGATACATAATTGTCTCCTTCTTTAAAAGCAGCAATTCCAGCAACAAATCTGAAAATCCAATGGTGCAGCTATTCTACGGTACTTTCCTGACCGAAGGGGTTCGTGACGGTAAGTTCCCTGCTCAGAGTACTGACTATAGATTTGTGACTGGTGATCAGATCTTTGATACTGTGACAAGGAGACAGTACTTGTTTCATTTTCTCTGGAAAAGCAATATAATGAAAAATGTTAGTGTCAGAAAAATCTAAATTTCAGCATTGATTTTTGCTTCTGTGTTTCTTATAATCAGGGATGAACTATGTGAGCTTTTGGAACCTCGTTCTCTTCCTCTGTTAAAATGGGGACAAACTTTATCTCAGAGCTATAGAAGTATATTAAATTATTATATAACTCAGAATTATATTAAATCATATAATATGCACATGGCTCAAATGAGCATTAATATCAGGCATATAGTGATGTTCCTCAGATTTCTCTAGTGATTTTTCAGTTGTAATAACTGATCTCAAAAGATTTTGCTTCAGAGTGCCAACATGTTTGCATTGTAGAGCTGTGTATTTTAATAAGCTGTGCATTTTACGTGCTTCCCCCATCCCCAATTTTGGAAAATTTACAATACATATAAATAGAGCAATATGAAGATTAGTCTTCCCAGAAGCCAGTAACAATTATCAGTTATGCCTTATGTACTTTCATGATATTATTTTGAAAACATTATACAGTATTCATTCACTCAAAAATAATCAGCATTTCTTGAAATCAAGTATCCCGTCAGTGTCCAGAGTGATAGTTCTTATAAGTCTCTTAAAATCTGTAGGTTTCCCTTCATCCTTTTTCCTTGCAGTGTGTTTTGAAGAAACTGAGGTAGATTTTCTGTGGTATCTTTGTTTGAATTTTGCTACTTGCATGCCCATAATAGTTTACCATGTCCTACTCTACTCCTAGTCCTATAAAGGATCTAGAGAGCTGCCCAGATTCAGGGAAGGTTTTTTTTTTTTTTTTAAAAAAAAAATGTGAGTCACAGATGGCAGGGTGTTTTTTTGATTGGGATTCACTCTTCTGATCATCTGTTTGCTGTATTAGCAGCTGTGCTTGGCTCCACTGGTTCATTAGAGGTTATCACATTTAGGCTTAAAACACTTCCAATAAATTCTCAGGAAACAGTGAATTTGGGAAAATATTGTCCCTTTAGTGCCAGAAGAGAAAATATAGATGGTATAATGAAGTCTTTGTAAAAGAAATCAATCTCTCTCTTTGCCTAGGAAAGCCCTTTTGTAACAGTGAGACCTTTGGCCAGTATCCCCTTCAGGTAAACGGTTATCGCAACTTAGACGAATGTTTGGAAGGGGCCATGGTGGAGGGTGACATTGAACTACTTACTTCTGGTCATTCAGTGAAGTATGGACAAGAGGTAAGTTAGATGTTTTGATTTGCCGTGCCAGTGATGAAGCCAGTTAAGTAGGACTGACCTTTTAAGCAAACTAGTTTCCGGCACGTGCTAAATGACTTTACCCTTAGCAAAACTTGAATTTATCTTACTCCTCTCATGAACTGATATATTTCAATGAGTCTTAGTGCTTTGATAAATAAATTCTTTACTAAAAGTATGAATTTGAGTTATAATGTAAAGGTTATATGCTGCTTCTGATATTGTAAGTATGATCAAGTCTCTCTCTTTCTGTTGAAGCCTACCTGTACCTGAGTAGGGAGAGCCCACTGCCTCCATATTTTCGGAGGGTAAAAGTACAGTGCTTAACACCTATGGTATGCCATTTAGAATATTTTCCCTATTATAGTGTTTACTGTTCTGCCTTTGCTTTAACATTTTTAAAATGTAATTTTTATTCATTTTATTTGGGGGGAGGTGGAAAATAAAGGGAAAGCAAGGGTAACCAATACCTCAAATTCCACTTGGGTTAATTAAGACTAGTAAGTAGCATTCAAATCATAATTACCAACACTACTCAATTTGGATCATTCTTCTTTCATCATGTACTTTTGAAGCAAAATTGAAACTGACAAGTCCATCTTAGTAGATAATATAGGAAGAATGAAGGCTTTGGGGCTTAAAGTAGGGGCCTAACCCTTAGCTGTAGAGCAGTGTGAAAACCAGGATAGGGCCTGCCTAGCTTTTCAAGAAAATAACTGATTGCTGATGGGTCATGTATCTGTATTATCTTGCAGACTGAAATGCTTATTAAAAAAGAGAAGAGACCTTTCTTTTTTCAAGGGTGGGAACTCTTTATAAAAAAAGAGAGGAAAAACCGTAATTTTACTTGTTTAGCTATATCCTGTAATAATGAATCAATCCTCTGGCTGTCTGGATTCGCCTTGTAGTGTCCACAGAGTATTTAAGGGAACATAGTTATTTGTATCTTCAGTAAAGAGAACATTTTTAAGCTGTTCACATGGATCTTTGGCATACAGGTGAATTGAACAGAAATGCCTTTCCTGACCTAACTTTTTCTGTTCTGTCATGAGTGACAGTTACAATCTTTATAGAAGCCAGGGCTTACATTTGAAATTCAAGGGCACTTTATAGGTTGGTTTTACTGGATTCTTTATGAAACATTTATAAATTCTTAAAACTCAGAGAATTTTCAGAAAGTTGAACATTCATAATCATGAAATGGTTTCAAGGTTATTGTTTTTTTGGGTTTTTTTTAATATAAGGGGAATCTAAATTATGTTTAGTAGACCGAGTATATAATAATATATATATGTATGTATGAGTCATTTTAACAGATTTGTGGAGGAAATTATTTCCTTTCTTACCTATATGTTATTTAGATTAATATTTTTAATTCTTTGACTAATTCCAGTCCTCTCTTGAATACTGATGACTTAATGAATTGTATAGATTTTTGGTACAGCTAAGAAGGTATGATTCTAAGGAGTCATTTATTTGAGTATTTTGGATGAAAAATGCTTTTGTATGAGTTTGATTTGAATAGAAATTCCATAATCTTAAGGAAGAAAGTTTAATAAGGAATATTACAAATCTGGCTAATGCCATTTCCTAAAATTACTTTTTCTTCCACATTTCTGCTTCTGACATAGTGCTGGTTTACCAAGCTACCTCCAGTGTTGACCTTTGAACTCTCAAGATTTGAATTCAATCAGTCCCTTGGTCAACCAGAAAAAATTCACAGTAAATTGGAATTTCCTCAAATTATTTATATAGACAGGTGAGTTTGTTGCTTGATTATATTCTTTATGTATATATAACATAATGGTAGAAATTAGCTTGTTCAAAGTAATGAAACTACAATAGAATAAGTGTTGGGTTTTTAACCAAAAAGTTGACCATTTGAACCCATCACTTGCTCTTGAAGAAAGATAAGGCTGTCAACTCCCGTAAAGACTAGTCTTGGCAACTGTGGGACGGAAGACAATTTTTCTCTGTCCTAAATGAGACAGAATAGACTTGATAGTATTACATGTGATTTTGTTTTCTTACAGTAGTTTGTCTAAAGATCATTTAGAGGTTTTAATATGCAGATATGGATTCAGTGGTCCTAACTTGGAGCCCAAGAGTTTGCACTTTCATATATATATATATATATATATTCTTAAGCCAGTGCTGCTTCTCTGTAAGTTTTAAAATCAGAATTCATGAATCCTCTAACTTGGTTCCTTTTGCAAATTGTTTTGGCTATTTTAGGTTCTTTACATATCTTGTCAGTAGTAACTTGCCAGTTGTTAGATTGTCAGTTCTGCAAAACACATTTGGGGATTTTTGTTGCAACTGTGTTAAACCTTTTATTCAGTTTGGTAAGAATTGACATTTTGACAAAAATGAATTCTTTAATACATGAGCATGGTACATCTACCCCATGAGTTTAAGTCATTGTTGTAATTTTTGGTGTATATGTCTTTTATACATGCTTGATTAAATGTCTCTCTAATTCATGGTTTTGATATTAAATTATAATAGTATTTTAAACTCTCCAGTTGCGTGATAAGAGTGTGTAGAAATGCAATACATTTTTCTCTTAATATTTTTTAAAAAATTCACTTTTCTTGACCTTAGTTAAAGTCCCTGGTTATTCTTTGTAGTTTTGTAGATTGGTTGGAAAGCCTGTGTATAGTCAAATTATTTGCAACTAAAGGAAATTTTACTATTTTCTTATAATCTGTATGCTTTTTAGTTCATTTTCTTATCTATTCCACTGGCATTGCCTTCAGTTCAATAAAAGTGTGAGAGTGGGCATCCTCGACTGATCCTAATATTTGAGGAACACATTCACTGTTCATCATTAAGTATTGATGTTAACTGCAACTTTTTCATAGATGTCTTTTTTATTTATTTGTTTTAAATTTATTACTTTTTTGACTGTGTACTGTCAAACCAGATCCAACTGGTACAGGAGGAGATTGCCCTCCTTCTCTAGCAGAGCATCTGGTGGATTCAAACCGTGTCCCTCTTGGATTGCAGTGCAGCTTCTTGCCACTAGGCCACCAGAGCTCCCCAGATGTCTTTTATTTAGTTGAGGAACTTTCCTTGTATTCCTAGTTTGCTAAGATATTTTAACATTAATATTTTTAAATTAAGTTTGTGTTTTTGAATTATTATTTCCCTAGGTACATGTATAGGAGCAAAGAACTTATTCGAAGTAAGAGAAAATGTATACGAAAGTTGAAGGAGGAAATCAAAGTTCTTCAGGAAAGACTAGAAAGGTAAGTCATCATCCACACCTTTGTGCTTCAAAGTGCAAGAGTAGATATTACAATCAAGTAGTTTTCTTCTGTTTAAAAATTAATTCAATGTTTCAAATACTAAGTAGGATATTTTATAAAATTGCTCTAAGAAGAAAGCAGTCTTTAAGATCAGCTAACAGTGGGCAAATGGTGTCCCAGTGAACATATGACCCAAAGCCACACAGGTAGGTAGGTAGTTATTGGTAGTGTACTTTGGAGAACTCAAGTTCTGGTTTCATAGTCCTTTACTTTTCCTACTGCTCTTACTATCTTTTTTTCACAATATGAGAGTAGTAACCCTCAATTACTTCTCTTGGAAAAGCTGGCCCTAACATGCTGGGGATAGAGAAAAGGCAAAGTGGTTCAACTAAGAGCAGCACTAACCAATTCAAAGGGCAAATCATTTAGACGCAAAGTCTTGTCTTTTCTAGAGAAATCTCTGTGTACCTCACACCGCTTTTAAAAAGCTATTTTTAGGGGAGCTCTGGTGGCCTAGTGGCAAGGACCTGCAACTACAATCCCAGAGGAGAATGGTTCAAATCCACCAGTTGCTCTGCCGGGGAAGGAGGGACAATCTCCTCCTGTACCATTCAGATCTGATTTGACGGTACACTCACACAAAAATAATAATAAAATTTTTAAAAATGCAAGCTATTTCTGCAAAATCTATATGGTTTCTTTTTAGTCTATATAGATTTCTTTTATTTAGCAATTAAAGGTCTCAAATACTATAGGTTCTCTTTATCCTCGTAACAGTCTTGCTACCACAACCTGATTTCACTTATTTCATTTTTCCCAAAACTTACTCATTGCTGTTGAGTTGGAATCAACTCACATGTGCGATCCTCCAGTAGGTTTGGGCAAGAAATTGAGAGATACCGTCTTAGGGTTAGCAGCACAACCCCTTTCAGGCTATCAGTAGAGTTCACTGTTCCGTTGCTAAGTCTTTATTTTCCCTGAGAGACAGCACTTTCCCATTACAGGCCCAAGACCAATAGCTTCTCCTCTGCCTTTTTTCCCTCTTAGTCAATAAGAACTTTTTCCAAGATGTATTATTACTGCCCTTTATCCATTTGTCTTATTTTATGTTTGAGCTGAAGATTGATTCCTCAAGTCATAGAAGTGCTTTGCAAGATTATAAATTCAGCAGTATTTTAACGTTTTCGAGTCTGTAAGACAGGACATTTTCAATAATTTCTATAGAACCTATTATAAAAACACTTGTTATTTTATAGCTCAGAAATACATAATTTACCAGTAACTAGCAAGGCATTCTGAATTATTTTGATTTTTAAAGGAAGCAAAAGCATTTCCTATAGCAAGATGGGATTTTTGTTTTATAAGTAAAATTACTAAGGAAAAAAAAAAGAAAAAAAGTTCATTTGTGTATTTTTTTTATTATACTAGTTTATTTACAAAATTTGAATACATTGTTTTCAAGACCAGATTCTTCCGTTTCCCTCACACACCCCCCATCAATCATTTGTGTATTTTTTTTTCAAGTTTAAACATAACTGCTCATATATATGTGTGACAGCAGAATTGGATGTAAGGTAGATAGATGACAATGGTTTGCTTTAAACTTTTTGTTGTGTTTGAATTTTCTTATCAGATGTTGACATTACGTCCATCATTTAAAAAGTAAAGATATGCATTGTTTCTTCTCTAAGATACCTTGCTATAATATTAGAAATAAGGTTTCTTATATGCAACATGTGGGAGAAGGATGGGCAATTTCCTCTCGTGTGATTAACTGCCTCTGAAAACCCACCAGAGGTTCAGTTATCTTTTTTAAACCATTTTTTTCATGCTCTAATCTCCTAATACAATTACTGTTGTATTAAGTAGTTACTTCTAAAGGTTGTCTAAAGAAATTGAAGTAAATACAGAAACAAAAATGATGTCATAAAAGCAAGAATAACTTCTTTAGAGAAATTTTCCTGACAATATAAATTACATATTAAAATGTAACAAATCTTGAGAAAATTATAGGGATAAAAATTTAAAAATCTCCTACATTGCTATGAAACTATTGTGATAAGAACACATTCTCTTTAGTCCAGGCCCGTCATGTTTTAATTTCTTTGACAGATTTATTAAGTGCTTAGTAAGAATTAGGAACTATGAGTTGGGGATAGACAAGAAGGATTGAGTTCATATTTTGTGGGACTTCAGAGCGGGTGATGCTCTTTGCAGCATTTGGGGAATGAAACATTGAAGAAAACTGGGAAAGGTAGGTCTTGAAGGATAAGAAGGGTTTATAAACTGATAATAACTGAAATGAAGGCAGGGGAAAAAAATATCCAAAGAATGGAACATTTCTCTGAGGTTCATCTCCTCTACAAAATTTAGAAAAGAAATTTGTAGATCTCTGTGGCATGCAAATTCTATTTCCCTTTGGAATTTTCATTCTGTGAAATACCTTGTCTGTATATTCTTTAGGGAGTGGTTGATTTTGTTTTACATTCCAGCTTAATTTCATTTCATAATATACTTTCTTATATGGACACAGAAGATTTTTTTTTTTAGTTCTATTTTTGTTTTTTCTTACAGTTTACTCAGGAAAGGAAAATAGGGAGTGATATTTTTTTGTGTGTGTGTGTGTAAACTAGAATTCCTGAATTAGGGGTTATCTGTACCAATTATTGTACAATCTGTTTGATGATTATACAATTTAAACTGTGTGTTACAAAACCAAACTCAATGCCATCCAGTTAGTTCTGACACATGGCAGTCCTACATTTGATTTCCTAAGCTGTAAATCTTAATGGGAAGAAACTCACATCTTCTCCCACAGATTGGCTCAAGGATTCAGATGGCCAGCCTTTCTATTAGCAGTGCAACATGGAACACACTACACTACCAGGGAATTATAAAATTCATTAAAGTGAGTCATTCACTGAGTCTTAACATGTGCTAGCAATAGCAGAATATTATTATTGGAATACATTCTGAATTCTTTTCATCATACATGAAGATTTTTATTATTTATAGTCCCAATAAAATCTTCATAATGATATGTGTGTCTTTTGCCTAGTGAATGAGTATGTGACAAATTAAAATACTTAAGACCTAGAGAAGAAAGATTTGTTAATGTTCTAAAAATCTAAAACTTTTCTTGAAAATGGAAATACTTTTACTATACAAACTAGGTATACCTCCTAAAACAAAAAAAGAGCTGTGGTATGGACAGATAAAAGCACACCTGTGTTTATTATAGCATTCTTTATGGTAGAAAAGAGTTGGAAACAACCCAAGTATCCATCAACAGATGAATGGTTAAAAAAATTATGGGAGACTCAAAGAGTACTGTGTAACATTAAAGAATGATAAAGAATTTGTGAGATTCTGCATAACATTGGTGAATCTAGAGGAAATTATATGTAGTGGCATAAGTCAGTCACAAAAGAATAAATATTGGACAAGATTACTATTAGAATAGACCATTAAGAAAAGATTTACACACAGATAAGAGTCATTCTGTTTTTTAATAATTTTTTTTAGTGATTTAATGAACATTTACAGAGATTTTGGATTTCCATTCATTCATTGCTGCACTTCTCTCCTGCCCGCCCCGCACCCCCATCTCTCCTCAGATAAGAGTCATTCTTAGATGGTTACCAAGGTTGAGAGGGGAGGCAGAAGAGAGTAAAAAATTAATAAATCATATAGATCTACCAAGTTGAATGAAGAAAAAGAACAATATAAAATAGAGGCATGAGTCATGCATTGTAATTAATATTATAAAAACTGGCATGTATGCATGATTGATTTCTGACTTTCAGTGAAATAACAAGAAAAGATAAAAAGTAAAAGATATCAAATTTTTATTTTGATTATGTGTTGAAATGATAATAGTTTAGATCTAAGAGACTAAAATATTTTAAAAATTAAACTCTTTTACCAGTATTTACTTCCCATATCTATATTTCTCTTATTTTCCTAAATTGCAAAATAATTAGTCTCAAGGGCAGTAAAGAAAAGCTTGTTGTTGTTGTTGTTATGTGCCGTCAAGTCATTTGCGACTCATAGTGACCCTATGCACAACAGCCCTAGACCCTGCTCTATCCTGTACCAATCGCACTGCCTCTGACACACCCATCCCAATTATCCCAGTCACTGAATCAATCCATCTCATAGAGGGTCTTCCCCTGTTGCGCCGTCTCTCCACCCTCCCAAGCATGATGTCCCTCTCCAAGGACCCGTCCCTCCTGGCAACATGCCCAAAGTATGTCAGACAAAGCCCCAGAATCCTTGCCTCCAAGGAGTTGCTTGATTTAATCCTCTCGAGGATGAATCTATTTGTTTTTCTGGCAGTCCATGGTACATTCAATACTCTTCTCCAGCACCACAGCTCAAAGGCATCAATTCTCCTTCTGTCCTCCCTAGTCATTGTCCAGCTCTCTGATGCATAACAAGTGATTGCAAAGACCATGACCTGTATCAGGCGCACTTTAGTCTCCAGAGAGACACCGTTGCTCTTGAATACTTTAGAGAGGTCCCTAACAGCAGACTTTCCCATCACAATATGTTTTTTGATTTCCTGACTGCTTGTGCCAAGAGTGTTGACCGTGGAACCGAGCAAACTGAAGCTGTGAACAATCTCAATCTCTTCTCCATCCATCCTGATGCTACCAGTTGGTCCAGTGGTGAGAATCTTTGTCTTCTTGACATTGAACCTCAGTCCATACTGAAGGCTGCAGTCCTTGACCCTCTGCAGCAAGTGCATCAGGTCCTCCTCAGTTTCGGCAAGCAGGGTTGTGTCATCTGCGTAACGCAGATTGTTAATAGATCTTCCACCAATCCTGATGCCACAATTCTTCTCATAGAGCCCAGCCTCCCAGATAATCTACTCTGCATACAGGTTGAAAAGGTTTGGAGACAGGACACATCCCTGGCGTACATCCTTCCCAATTTTGAACCATGCAGTGTTACCCTGCTCTGTTGTAACAGGATACCCAGAATTCTTTTCAAATTTGAGTACACATAGTATATCTGTGGCAAAGAATTTTGAATATACTAAGGACCTCCAAACTCACTCTTTTTGCTGATGAGTTGGAACCAAATCATGACTGACCCTTCATTGGGTTTCCAAGGCTGTAAATCGCATGGGAGAAGGTTGCTCACCTTTCTCCTGTGGAGCGGTTAGTAGATTCAGACCACCAGATAGGCCCACTTTTGCGTTAGCAGCACAACTTTCTGGACTCTGCCACCAGAGCTCCCCTTGGACAGCCAAAGAATGAACAGCTCTGTCTCTGAAGAAATGCAGCTGGTGTGCTCTTAGAAGACCAGGATAGTGAGATTTTCCCCTCAGATACTTTGGGCAAATAGTCAGGAGGGCCCAGGCCCTGAAAAGGTCATCATGCTTGGAAAAGTTGGAGGCCCAGCAGAGGGGAGGAAGACCCCCAGTGAGATGGACTGATGTAGAGGCTGGGCCGTGGGCTTGAGCACACTGGAGTTTATGAGGCTGACACAGGATCGGGCAGGGTTTGATTCTGTTGTACAGGGTCCCTGTAAGCCAGAGTCAGCACAGCTCAATGACATCTAAAAACTACAGCCAACAGAACTGTTTTCTTCAAGAAATGAAATTCATTTTTATGACTAGAAACTATATATGTAATTGGCATGACTTTTTTTAAAGATGTTTCATGTGAGGTATAACAATGGTTGCCAGCTTTAACTCTTGTAGATAGAGAATTTTTACTTTGTAGATATTTGAGTTACCTATGAGTACTGATTAATCCTTAAGAATGAGCCTTTTAATAGACTCTTCATGAATAACATATTTTCAGCAAGTCTCAAATGTAAAACAGACTTGGCTAGTAAAGGACCACTGTCCTTACTTCTTAGGTATGTGAAGTACGGCTCGGGCCCAGCTCGGTTCCCACTTCCGGACATGTTGAAATATGTTATTGAATTTGCTAGTACAAAACCTGCCTCAGAAACCTTTCCATCTCAAAGTGACACACGGGTGACATTACCACTTTCTTCAATGCACTGTCCGGTTTCTGACCTGACATCCAAGGACAGGTAATTTTTTTAAAAGAAATGCTTTTACATGTTGAGAAACACAACCATTCACCTTTCCCCGAGCTCCAGTTACTATTTCTTCATGCATGTGTGTGTAGGCATGTGTCCGAGTGCTGGCAGTTGTTGATGTGGAGTTGGTTCCAACTTCTGGTGACCCCGTGCTTTAGAGTAGAATTGTCCCCTAGCCTTTTTTTTGCTTTTACCTGAAAGGAAGCAGATCCCACCCCTTTAATTCCTAAGTACCAGTAGGTGAGTTCATACCACCAATCTTAAGTTAGTTGTCAGGGCAAAGTGACACATTAGGACCATGTATCTGATTGGAACACATCAAATAGTATGACTACTTCTCTCCAAGGGGTGGCATGCGTGAGAGGTTTTGTTTTAATGAAGTCCTGCATGTATCTTACTGGGAAAATTTTAAATTTTGGAAGGTTGGCTGTTCACTTTGTTGCCTAAAATGAAAGTACATAATACTGTTGTTGTTGGGGTGTGCCTTCAAGTCGGAACTAGCCCATAGCTGACCCTCCATTGGGTTTTTAGGAGCAGTAAATTGCACAGGAGATTGCCCATCCTTTTCCCAGGAAACAGCTAGTTAGCTGGTGAATGCGAAACACATGCCTTTGGAATTGCAGCCCATTATCTTATTACTAGGCCATTAGACTATTAAGATTTTAGTATGTATGAGCTGTGCAGACTCTTCAGAGATTAAATTTTTGGCTCTCCTGCCTGTATTTAGAGGAATCCTGGTGATATGGTGATGTGATAGACAACACATCAGACTGCTGTCTGATCAGCTGTGTAAGCCCACCAGCTGCACTGGGAGAGACAGGCAAAGTGTCTGAATCAGCGTGAGGACAGTGAGTTGCATGTTTTGGATGTTCTGGTGGTGCTTATTTTTCAGACTGTATTTTGGGTCCTTAGAGAAAAGAGTTTTTCCCTCCTGTTAAGTGTGTGAGGTGTGTGGGAGAGAGGCAGGGACAGACAGACAAATGAGGGCTTCTTGTAAACCAAAGCTAGAGGAATTTTTCTGTCCAATATTGATGGGAAACAAACTTAAATACAATTAAAAGCTTATTTTCTTTTCCTGCTCATTTGTCTGTGTACAGTTTATACTCAGTTTGACAATAGTTAATTAGGAGGTAATTAACATTTACTGAATAGCTGCTTTACATACTTTATTCTCAGTTTACGGCAGAGATGTAGATTTGTAGATGCTAGATTACTTACCAAAGGCTAATACTATCTCTCTGGTTTTTTAGCTAGCAGTGGTAGAGCTGGGGGTTGGGGACCCTGGGCATAGTGGTCAGGTGCTCATCTGTAGTAATTCTTCGCTACCAGGTGCTCTGCTGGAGAGAGAGATAGGGAGCACTACTTCCTTCAAGATTTTCTCTAGCCTTGGCAAAGCTCAGAGCTGGTTGGTTCTGCTCTGTCCAGTGGATTGCTGTGGAATCTGCTCTTGCAATAGTTTTGGGGCAGAGCTGGAATTATCTGTTTAAAAGTCATACTTCTGTACTCTTCCAAGGTTCCACTTAGTTTATATTCCTGAGTTGGATAATCAGCTGATACTTAGGTTTTTTCTACTTTTGTATATTATATCACTAGATAGTTTTATTTTAGTCTTTTTCATCATGGTAATTATAGTGTGATTCCTTAATTGTTCCAGAACCAGTTTCTCCTTTTCCATCATCCTTCTTGTTCTTTCTTTCTGAGAATAGTAAGGGCTTAGAGTACACACTGAAGCACAGAGTCAGTCATATCTGGATTTAAATTCTTTTTACATCATTTACTAGTTGAGTGTTGCTTTATTTCTATAAACTCAGGTTTATGGCTGGTAAAATGGAATAGTAATTGTGTCTGCCTTATAAGCAAGCTGAGCTGAATGAAATGATACATATAAAGAAAGTTTGCTTAGTATTTTTATAGTTGTATTTTTTGGTAGTGCAGTTTGCTTTCCAAAGTGCATTAGTTTAGGCCAAAGCTGTCCTTGTCATAAGAGCATGATTTTTTCCCCCTCCTTATTTCAGAGCAAGTGCCGAAAGCTCTTCCCTGGATGTTGAAAGTACTTTTACTTCTCCTGAAGATTCACTACATAATTCTGAGATTTCTCCACTTATGTCTTCCCGGTCTTCCATTGAAATGCCAGCCCACCCAGCTCCTCACAAAGTCACAGACGAGGAAATAAACTTTGTTAAGACCTGTCTTCAGAGGTGGCGGAGTGAAATTGAACAAGACATACAAGGTTGGCTTTTTCAAAACTTGTCAGGCAGAGTGACCCTCTTCCTTTTGTTTCTTACTGACATTGCCGTAAGAGTAATTGTGACTCCTTTTTTAGTTTTCATAAAAATGGTTCACACTCCCATTATACTACTGTGGAAAGTCTCTCCTAAAGATTTCTAGAGACTTGTGGGGAGCTTACTTAGGTTCTCATGATTTCCTGACTGGGATTATACCACCTTTGTTAATTTCTTTCAGTCATTTGTCTTGTGTCACTTGACTCAATCTTTGAATTTAACTTTCCTTTTATTTCTACTTTTGAAGTCTTGGCTATGCAAAGCATATTTTACTGAAGATTAAGCAGAGAATGTTGGAGCAATGTAAATTGAATTACTTCAGCATTTTTTTCTTAATAATTCTTTGGCTACATTGCCTTATTACTCATACTAGATATTCTCACCTTCCTTTCTCCCTTTATCTGTGAAGAAAAAAATAAGGACTGAAAAGCCAAATTCCTCCTACGCTCTTATTCAGAGATGTTTTGCCCACCTCTTGTTCTTTGTTCTTTCAGATACTGTCTCTGGGATGTATATTTTACACCCACATCACCCATTTAGGTCTTTTGGAACAGTTTCTTCTTTAAGAAATTTTGATGCTGGTTATAAATGATCAGTTTTTTTAAAAATAATCAATGTAATTATCTTTAAAAAGACTTCATAGTCTAAAGGATTAGCTGCTTTGTGACTGCTGAGACCTCTGTGGTTTATAAAGTGACATTGAAGTCACCAGGACGCTGTGTACAAGATGAGCAACTGCTCTTTACGTGATTGAAGTCATTGATGTGATATGGACTAAAGTAAACCTAACTTTATGTATTCTTTTATAACAGACTTAAAGGATTGTATTGCAAGCACTACCCGGACTATTGAGCAGATGTATTGTGACCCTCTCCTTCGTCAGGTAGAATGAAAATTGATGGGAAGGTAGTATTCAAATAGTGTTAATAGATACAGAGAGAAAATTAGATCTTTTTTTCTGTGACATCAAATAGAAATCTCCCTGTTATGTAAAAATAAACTTAACCATCAATATTGTTTCCTTTCTTTATTTCAGGCCAAAGGAAGCCATAGATCTTTACCATCAATACAACCTAAAGAGTAATTTTGTCACACAGTGTTTTTTTCATATGGTAGAAAGATTTGCTGTCTAATGTTAATAAAAATTTCTCACAAAATGCTGGTGTCACTGGTAAAATGGGGACCAGCAGTCGGTGCTTATCTTTTCCAAAGGGCCATGATCTCCCTAATTCTCAGTTTGGCAGCATGCTTTCAAGGTTTACTTCTCTAATACCTTAAAACGTCACACACACACACACACACACACACACACACACCGCCCACAACAAAGATCGTAACATGAAAAGTAACCAGGGCAGCAATTCTTATTATGCATATAAATTTTTGTTTAGAGTAACTCTGTGGGCATAGAGAGATGAAGAGCCTCAGCCCCAACATTATGACTTAGTCCTTGACTTCTGGATGGACAGATGGCTATAGCAGCAGAAACTTTGTTTCTAGAACGGTAATAAGGAGCAATTCTGTTGTCTAGAACCATACAGATCCATATTGTGGGGATGAATCATATATATCCTAGATTTTTTGCCTTTTCTCTTACATGTTATTTTTTTAAAAGAATTTCAACACCAATAAAAATGCATCACAATGCTAATTCTGTTTAATTTTGTAATGGGTTTTTTATTTTTCACCTGTATTTACTGAGTATTTTAGTACTGCTAAGTTTTCTCAATATGGGGGGGAGGGGAATGCTTGCATTTCAGTTATTAAAACAATCAGTATGTTATTCAAATGGTCTTTGCCCTAGAAAGATTAAGATGTAAGGACCACATCAGAAGTATAGGCACATGTGAAATAGGCCACCTTTCAATATTAGTACTAAATGCAGAATCATACCAGATCACTCCTAAACATGTCAATTCCAACTTTGGTGACTGTTTTTCAAAGTGATTGGTCAAGGCTTCCTATTTTTTTTTAAGATATTTTCCAAATAACCTGTGCATGATGTTTTTAAAATTAATTAGTTAGTTAGTTAGTTAGCTGTGTACCGTTGAATCCAGTCCAATTGGCACAGGAGATTCCTCCTCCTTCTCCAGTGGAGCATCTGGTGGATTTGAACCATGCACCTTTGAGATTGCAGCACAGCATCTTGCCACTAGAGCTCCCTAAGGCATCCTAATTTCAAGATAAACTAAGTTTGGAGTTGGAGGTCTAGGTGAAGAACACAGCGGACAGGTCTAGGTTAGCTTTGTAGTCTTTTAGAACTTGGAAGAGACCTCAAAGAGTTCATTATCGGGGTAACCGCATTGTTTTAACGACTTGGGACCTGAGATACAGTAATAGATTGCAGTGGCCTAGGCTGCTGTGCTTCTGTTTGTTCATCTTGAATCAGTGAGATGTTTTGATGGGCTCCTCATATACAACACATAATGTAAATTATGTCTCTGGTGTCGTAAGTTTTCCCATAGCTGATAGTTGAGTAATTTTTATTTTAATAACCTAAACTCTATCAGGTACTTTGCTTACTTACCTCAGTGATATATACTCTGATTTGTAGGTGCCTTACCGCTTGCATGCTGTTCTTGTTCATGAGGGACAAGCAAATGCCGGACACTACTGGGCCTATATCTATAATCAGCCTCGACAGATCTGGCTCAAGTACAATGACATCTCTGTTACTGAATCTTCTTGGGAAGAACTTGAAAGGGATTCTTATGGAGGCCTGAGAAATGTTAGCGCTTATTGTCTGATGTATATTAATGACAAGCTACCCCAAGCCAATGCAGGTAAATAACTTGGCAGAATCCTGAAATGTAGACAAATTTGGAGAAACCTTTTTGTACTTCTTTTTTAAAATGCGATCTATCCTTTATTGTTATTATGATTGCCATTTTAAAGTAGGGAGCGGGGACCTAGTGATTACAGTGCAATCACAAAGGCACATGGTTCAAATCCATCAACTGCGTGAAGGGAAAAGGATGGACATTCTCCTCCCATGTGATTTATTGCCTCTGAAAACACACTAGAGGGTCAGCTGTAAGTCTGTTCAAACTTGATGGCATGCATCAACAACATTGTAAAGTAGCGATGCATTTTTTTTAAAATATGAGTGGTACAGAAGAAAACTCTGTGGGCAAGTTCTATACCGAGTGGCACTGCTTATTCAAAGACCATGCCTGTGGCCATTTGAAGCCACCAGCAAGAGAGAAAGATCGGCAGTCTCTGGTGTCATTTACAGCCTTAGAAACCCAATAGAGCATCAGTTGTGAGTCGATTTGAACTCGATAGCTTTGAATTTTGAATTTGGGTTTTTGATAATAGGACAAGTGAATCAAAGGAGAAGTAGATTTGCCTTTTTATGTCTATTCCTGACTCCTGATCAGGATGCTTATGTTGTCGTTAAGAAATATTCTGTGCATACACTAAGTTATATCTCCTTTCTATTGGCCATTTGGAATGTTTTCAGATTCATTTATGAATTTCATTCTTTCCCTTATATTACATACCTTACTAATCTCTGTATTTTTATAAGTGGAATAGACTCATTTTTTTTAACAACTGCATAATAATTCCATTGTATGTTTATAATATAAGTTACTTAAGCAACCTCAAATTGCTAAACATTCATATTATGCTAGGTATTTTTGCATGTTTGGTTATATTATTTTACATAACATTTCTGCACACTTTGGAGAATAGCCACATTTTAAAAGTGTATTTGCTTGAATGATTCCCTTACTCCTTGTAGTATTATTGTTTATGCTAAGAAAAGTTACAGTTGCTCTCATTTATATTGGTACTTTCCTCCTCTTTTATAAAGTAGATAGGTTTTTCATTCAACTATTCATACATATTTTGTTTTATAATATTAACTACAATACTTACAATGTTATCACACTCTTCTGCTTCTTCCTCGTAATTCTCATTTCCATTGAACCTTCTATCCTACCTCTTCCTGCCCTTAGGACTTGATTCTTGGGCAGATGCTGCCTTTTTGGCCTTAAATGATTGGTTATTCTAAGACGTGGGTGCTGCTGTCGTGTGTTGGTCACTTTATAAACTTGTTTGTTGCTTGGATGAAAGTTGAGCCACGGGGGGGGGGTTGGAGGGTAAGAGTCATAGTCACAGGACTCCACCAGTCTATGTAAGACCAATAAGGCTGACCTTTTTAATGCTTTTTTTAATTAGGATCCACATTTTTTCCCTGACTCTGACTAAGATCTTCTGCTGTGACCTTTTTGAAAGTGATCAAAGTTGGAGCCAGACATCATCTAGTTCTGATAGTGTCAGGGAATTGAGATTCATGTGGTCCATTAGCCATTTGAGTTAATTGTTCAGTCCATCTTTGCTTTCCCCCCATCTTTGTTCCAAAGGGGGAGAGTTCCATAGTTGCACTTTGTTTAGATGGCTTCATGGAAAGTTTTAAGACCCCAGTTGCTATTCAAAAAATTTGTTGTAGAACATGTTTCTGTAGTCTTTACTGTGTGCCAGCCTTTAATGTTTCTCAAGGTGGTGGCCTGAAGGCCCCAGAATCAGTGACTCATTCCCTCAAGGTGTTTGGCTATGATTAAGAATCTACAAAGTATGTCCCTGTTTTGTACATGCATTAACAGTAATAATAAAGGGTGACTGGAATGCAAAAGTTGGGAACAGAATAGAAGGATCAGTAGTTAGAAAACATGGACTTGGTGACAGAAATGGAGCTGGAGATAGAATGATCGAATTTTGTGCAATCAATGATTCTTCATTGCAAATATGTTTTATAAGAATTTAAAAACCATCTCAGGAACAGGTTTGAGGCCTTGAACACGAATGTGCGAAGCCCAGATGAGTTGTGGGAGGATATCAAGAATGTCATCCAGGAAGAGTGCAGAAGGTCACTACAAAGACAGAGGAGAAAGAAAAGACAAAAATGGATGTCAGAAGAGACTCTGAATATTGCACTAGAGTGCTGAGAAGCCAAAGCAGAGGGAAGAAATCACGATATTAAAGAGCTGAACAGAAGATTTCAAAAGACAGAGTGGGAAGACAAAGTAAAATATTATAATGAAATGTGCAAAGAGCTGGAGTCAGAAAATCAAAAGGCCAAACTCGCTCAACATTTCTTAAGCTCAAGGAACTGAAGAACAGATTCAAACATGTTGCAATACTTAAGGATGCTTTGGGCAGAATATTAAATGATCCAGGAAGTACTAAAAGAAGATGCAAAGAATTATACAGAGTCATTGTACTGAAAGGAATTAGAGGACACAGAATAGTTTCATGAAACAGCATATGAGCAAGAAGCCTGTGGAGATGAAAGAAGTTCAAGCTATTGTGAAAGAATTGGCAAAAAACAAGGCCCCAGAAATTGATGGTATACGAGGTGATATATTTCAGCAAACAGATGCTGCCCCAGATGTACCCACTGGGAGGACAACCACCTGGCCACCTCACTGGAAGAGATTTATATTTGTTCCCATTCCAAAGAAAGGTGACCTGTTAGGGTGTGGAAATTACCGAACAATATCATTAATATCACATGCAAGCAAGATTCTGCTTAAGATTATCCCAAAATGACTGGAACAATCAACAGAGAACTGTCAGAAGTGCAGGCTGGGTTTAGAAGAGGCCGTGGTACTAGGGATATTGTAGTTAATGTAGATGGATCTTGGCTGAAAGCAAGGAGTACCAGAGGAATGTCTATCAGTATTTCATTGATGATGCAAAGGCATTAGACTGTGTGGACCACAACAAATTGTGGCTAACTCTAAGAAGAATGGGAATCCCAGAACACTTGATCATGCTTCTGTGAAACATATACTTGGACCAGGAGGCAGTCATCAGAACAGAGCAAGGAAACACTGCATGTGTATGCCATGGATGTGTCCTATCTCCATACCTTTTCAATCTATATACAGAACAGATTATCCGAGAGGCTGGGCTCTATGAGGAGAAATGTGGCATCAGGATTGGAGGTAGACTTATCAACAAGGTGACACAACCCTGCTTGCTGAAACTTGTGCTTGCTGCAGGAGATCAAGAACTGCAGCCTTCAATATAGATTGAAGCTCAACATCAAGAAAACATAGATTCTCACCACTGGGCCGATTGGCAGCATCATGATAGATGGTGAAAAGATTGAGATTGTTCACAGCTATAGTTTGCTTGACTCTATAATCAAGACTCTTGGCACCAGCAGCCAAGAAATTAAAAGACTTATTGCATTGAGAAACTCTGCTGTCAGAGACCTCTTAAAAGTACTGAAGAGGAACAATATCAGTCTGGAGACTAAGGTGCACCTGATTCAATCCATAAACTTTGCAATCACTTGCTATGCATCAGAGAGCTGGACAATGACTAGGGATAATAGACGGAAAATTGATGCCTTTGAGCTGTGGTATTGAAGAAGAGTATTGAATATACCATGGACTGCTAAGAGAACAAATAGGTTCTTGTTGGAGAGGATGAAACCGGGCTGCTCCTTGGAGGCAAGGATTCTGAAGCTTCGTCTGACATACTTTAGACATGTTGCAAAGAGGGATGTTGGGGGGGGGATGTCATGCTTGGGAGGGTGGAGGGACAGTGCAAGAGACGAAGACCCTCTGTGAGATGGATTGATTCAGTGACTGGGGTAATGGGGTAGGTGTATCAGAGACAGTAAGATTGACACAGGATAGAGAAGGGTTTAGGGCTGTTTTGTACATTGGGTCGCTATGAATCACAGGCAACTCCATGACACATAACAACAACATACACATAGATATATTTATAGCTCTTTTTTTTTCTTTTTTTTGCCAATGACATCAGTGCAACTTGGACTTTTCCCTTTAGTATTATTGGTTCTTGATCATATGCTACTTCCTGAAATATTTCAGTGTCAACCATTTTTTTTTTACCTCCCTGGTATAATGACAATGTATTATTTCCCCTAGCATTTTTTGATGCATCCTGAGCCATGCCATATTTTGCCTATGAAATCCTTCAGTATTACAACTTGAGGCTTGATTTTTTTTTTTACTTTCAGTTCTTTCAACTATAGAAATACTAAGCATTTTCTTTCCTTTTTAATTTCTAACTCGTGTTTGCATATTTCATTATAATATTTTGACTCCTCAAGTTGCCCTTTGAATCGTCTGTTCAACTCTCATATTTCATCATTTCTTCCTTCTGCTTGAGCTTTTCTTGTAGAGAACAAGTTTTAGATCCTTTCCTTACAACCAGTTTAATCTTCTCCCCCTTTCTTTTTAATTGAAATTGTCAAGAATTTCCTTTTACTTAGATCCACAGTTAACACTCACAGAAGCAGAGTCAAGAACTCAGAACAACATATTGCGTTGGGAAAATATGCTCGTGAAGAACATCTTTAAAGTTTTAGAGAGCAAGGATGTCAGTTTAAAAGACTTGAGATGCATCTGACCGTGGTATTTTCAGTTGTCTCATATGTATGTTTAAAGTGAGTAATGAGTAAAGAAAGAGTGAAGAAGAACTGTGTTGGTGAAGGGTATTGAATATACATAACACTGACAGCCAAAAGAACAAATAAGTCTGCCTTGGAATAAGGAAATGAGAATACTCTTCAGAAGGGAGAATGGTGAGATTTTTGTCTCACATGCTTTGGTGTGTTATTAGGAGGGGCTTATCCTCAGGAAAGGACATCATCTTATTTGGGAAAATGCAAGTGTCACTGAAGGGGACGAAGCCCATCAAAGAGATGGACTGGCACATGGCCCTGTGTGCAACAGTGATTGCTAGGGTGGCTCGATCTGCTTTAAGTAGAGTCACTGAGTTGGTGTTGACTCAGGAGCATACCTAATACCAACAATAATTTACAGCATATACTAGTATGAGTGTAGAAATATGTGCCAGACCTGTGGATGTCATAACTAGAATCCTTTTCACCTACCCATATCTGTTTGTCTTACCTGTCTGCCTACATACCTGCTATTGACCATATGTCTTTGGTAATATTGGTACTTTTTATTATCATTTTTTTTTCAAGCTTTATTTTACATCCCATAGGTCATCAGAAGTGCAGACATCCTTATTTTCCACACTTTTCAGTGAGGCAATAGACTCTATAGTTGTCAGAAGTCACAGAGCTGGCAAATAAATGGCAGGTCCAAGAGTCAAATCCAGTTCTCACTGCATATTCCATGCTATTTTACATTTACATTGTTTTGTCTCTTGCTTATACATCCTCTGTGAGAGTTGGATTACTGGCCAGCATTTTACATTTAAGATCACAAAGAGTGTTTCCATTCAGTATTCAAATTCTACTGTGTTGTATAAATAAAACAATCACATATTACCCAGATAAGGCTTTGCTTTTTTTTTAAAAAAAAAATTCTCATTTGCTTAGTGGTTTCAGGGCTACAGGTTAAGGAGAATAATCCCGTAACAGTAATTCATCCTCATTTTTGTTTTGGTTACAAGCTTAGAAAGGAAATTTCATGTCTCCTTGATATTCTTTTTTATTTTCATCATAGTTTTTTTTTAAAAAAATATTATTACATTTTTACTTAACAAAACATTTGCCATTACAACACTGTTCATATATACAATTCATTGATAGTAATTACATTCATCATGTGATTAATTATGCTCGTCATATGAAGCAGCAACCCCTACTTCCCCGTCTTTTCTGCCTCAGTAACAATGAATACTTTGGTCTCTATGCTCTGTCCATACTAGATATTTCATAAAAATGGGGCCACACAGTATTTGACCTTCTGTCATGAACTCATTTTACTCAGTATAATGCTTCCTGATTGATCCATGTTGTAGTATATGTAAGAAATTTGGCTATCTTTATGGCACAAAAATATTCAAGTATATGTATGCAGTATATTTTGTTTATCCATACATTTCCTAATATTTAAGTTTTTATCTTTTGACTCTTGTGAACAGTGAGTATCAGTATACTCGTATCTTACAAATTTTCAATTCTTTTAGGTATACACATAGGTTAGAATTGCTGGACCATATTCCATTATAATTTTCAGTTAAAAAGCAAGAACTATCAGCCTTAGGTATAACCATTATATTAAATTGTTTTCTGATAATATTAAATTGTGTATAATTTTGTGAGACGGATTTCCCTGGGAGTCCAGGGTGGTACAAAAAGTTAATGTGCTCAGTTGTTGGCGGTTCAAAGTCTTCAGTAATGCCTGGTGATCTTCCAGAACATCCATTAAAAGCCCTTGGTAGCCCAGGTCTGCTCAGACACACGTGGGGTTGCTGTTAATCAGAATGGACTCATTGCAACTAATTGGTTTGGGAGATTTTTGTTTGTTTTCTAAATATCTGTGACTTATCTCTAATCCTCATGAGATGGACATTCTCATCATCAATAGATGAAATGGTTAAATTGATAAAACAAACTGTTTATCTTGAAATTTTATTTCTTAATTTCTCACAGATGTTTGATCTTGCTACATTTGTCAATGATTGGTCTCTAATCCTTAGCTTTACTCTTTTTTTAAAAACAAAATTTTTATTTTATACTGGTTTACTTACAAAGTTTGTGTGCATTGTTTTTCTCACCAGATCTTTCCCATTTCCTTTACAAATCCCTCTAATTTACCCATCAAATTGTGCAATCCTATGATTACCCCCTGCCCATCCTCTCACCCTCTGCTCCTTAGCTTTACTCTTACCATTTATTCATTTGCTCATTTATTCAGTCATTTTATGAATCTTTAATGAGTACTAACTGATAGGCCAGGCACTAGTAACTGGTGTGTTGTGATTATTGGCATTATACTGTTAATATTTCCAGTGTGCATTGTACATATATGGATGTACTTTTGTTGTAGGAAGGAAAAAAAATCAAGATGTCTTACTTCCTTTTGAGAAAAGACCTTTTGCTGGATTGATTTCATTTTACTTGTGCCTTTGTTCTTCTTCAGAGACAGCCCCAGATGAATCAGATCATATGTTAGAAGAACTGGAAAGCCTGTCTGTTGAACTTAAGCATTATATTCGGGAAGATAACTGGAGGTTTGAGCAGGAGGTAGAGGAGTGGGAAGAAGAACAGTCTTGCAAAATCCCTCAGATGGAATCCTCTACCACCTCATCATCGCAGGATTTCCCTACATCACCAGGTATCAGAGAGGAGTGCTTTACTGATGTCATTCCTGTCGTGTTCCCTGAGCGAACCTGTACTCCAGTGACTAACTGATTGATGCCATAGTCTGCATACATAATGTGTTTAAAGTCAAGTCATATGTTTAAAGTACAACCTAAATGGAATAACTTGTGTTTTTAGAATGATTTCTGATGACCAGAAGTTAACCTCGAATGACTAGTAGCTACTTGTATTTAATCATGTAGATAGTTTTTGCTTATTTTAAAAGTTGTAGGATAAGATTCATAGGTAGACTTTATTAATATAAGTAGTGCTTGACTTAAAATGGAGGTTAAATGCCAGTGACTTTCTTATAAGTAATTTCTGAAATGCAGTACCTCAACTTTGCCTTTATTATCAGTATCTTTGTAACAAAATCAGTAAATTATAGGCTGCAACATTGTTTGTTATACAGATTAATAACAGTAAGATTTTTTTAAATACAATACCCTCAGACATTCTTAAGTATAGTTCAGCATAACATGGATAGTCAGGGGATACCTATACTGTTCTCCAAACCATCCTTTGTTTTTAGGAATCTTTCTTGGCATAAAGCCAAGTATGATAAAATTGGAGGCACAACAAATTTTATAAATGACTCATACATTCTTGCTGAAGTGGCCATTTGTTTTAGTTAATCATTTCTAAGAATATTTTGCCTTTTTGGAGTGGGGAAGTTGGCTAGGAGGATTTTTTAAAAACTTAATTGTATTTATACTGCTTATTTTATGTCAAGATATGTTAGGCTTTTTTTTTTTTAAAAAAAAAAAAAGTCCTCATATGCTAGTAATACCTCTGTCCCCTTCTTCATTAGAGCCTCCAGTAACCTCTTCTCACGGGGTTCGCTGCTTGTCATCTGAGCACGCTGTGATTGCCAAAGAACAGACTGCCCAGGCTATTGCCAACACAGCCCACGCCTTTGAGAAGAGTGGTGTCGAAGCGGCCCTGAGTGAGGTGAGAAAGACAGAAGTCTGGATCCAGGACACTCAGCCTTTCATCAGCAATTACCACATGTTTCTCATATTTCTGTTGTTCTGCATCTCTGCTACATTTAACCAGCCCCTCTTCATTTCTCCTTTTCCCCTTACTCTTTCTCTCCATTCTGCTGCCACAGCTTAAGGAAACTGAACCTAAGAAGCCTATGCCTCAGGAAACAAACCTTGCAGAGCAGTCAGAGCAGCCCCACAAGGCTAATGAAGCAGAGTCTACTGCCCAGCCTAACTCTGAGGTCTCTGAAGTCGAGATTCCCAGTGTGGGAAGGATTCTGGTTAGATCTGATGCAGATGGATATGATGAGGAGGTACATAGACAAGTGCAGGGTCTAGCGATGTGTGGTCAGTCTGAACTTCTTTCTTATGTGGTTGAATATTGTCTTTTTAAGGTATTTGACAATAGCTAATATTTTTCATTGAAGCTAATAATGGAAGACCTGTCTGGTTTTGACCTTGCTATTCTTAAAGATATGGTACTGCCTTGTTTCTAATATATAAAAATATATATACACACACAACACATGCTTATACTTATAGTGGCCACTATAATCTAGATGACTCAGAGAATTTAGTTTTTCTTTTTAAATTAATAAATTAAAAGTTACATTCTTATCCTAAATCGGGAATCTTTGTTTTTAGTGTCCTTACTCTACTTTTCCTTCCTAATATAAATTATTTTTCATTTGTTCAGTAATCAAAACAAATATGAATCAGAGTTGTTTTTAATTCTAAGGCTTTAGGAAGAAGCTATAGAATCACACAGTATTCATTGTCTGTCTCCTTTTTAATCATCACTGCACATAAACAGACATGAATTGTGACTTGTCCCTCTCTGATTTTTTTTTTCCTAATTATTGAGAGGTTTTGATTTTATTTTATAAAATCAGTTTTTACCTCTGATTTCCTGGCCATTCATCTCAGTAAAACTCTAAAACATTTGTGGATTCAGGATATACAGCCAAACTCTAGTACTGTATTAGAATGCTCACCTTAGTCACTTCTCTGAGAACTGTCATTTACCTCAGTTCTTCAGCATTACCATATTGACGTTATCTTTAGACAACTTCCTTCATCCTGCTAAGGTTGTGTGGGCAAGGTGTTAATATTATATGTTGTTGTTGTTTGCCATCGAGTCGAGCACCATGCATAACGACCCTATGAACAAAAGACCTGAAGCCTTTCTATAATTCTCATCATTTATCAAACTTCATAGAGTTTCCAGAGGCATGTTGTTTAAGAATTGGAAGAAATGTCTGTATAAAACATTACTTAGCAGTAGTGGATAATCAACAGTATACAGCTATGCATCCCATCAATACTCTGTTCATCTCTCTTCCATGTGTTCTGTTGAACCTTTCTTCTGTCCCTTCTCTATGTTTTGTGCCTTCCTGTGGTAGGTGATGCTGAGCCCTGCCATGCAAGGCGTCATCCTGGCCATAGCTAAAGCCCGTCAGACCTTTGACCGGGATGGGTCTGAAGCAGGGCTTATCAAGGTATTGCTGTTTCTCACATTTTAATCCTTATAACGCAGGTATCCTAATTCTATAAAATGAGAATACTGGGATTACAAATGTTTTTCATTGAAAAGCTCCTTCTCTGTTTCTTGTCAACTAATGAGCCAGCAATACTACTAAACTAAGCATTCCTCTTCTCTTTAGTAAGGCAGCCTTGACTAGCATAGTCATACTATGCTACATCTAGCCGAGGGGGGGTGGTTTGTTATTGTTGCTGTGTAGAGATAATCTATTAATACCACTCTGGGATTTTGCCTTCGTAATCTGGGGTCCATAATATATGGAAGTAGTCTAGGCTTTTTAACATACTAGGATAAGATGGTATATGTGTGGATATATAAAATTCATGTCAGTGAGATACAAAGGATGTATCTGAAACAGTTAAAGTGTTTGCATGTCCAGTAACTTTGTAAGAAAAATTCATTTCTCCTGAGGATAGTGTGTCTTTGTTATCAGAACACTAGAGGAACTTAATCTCCTGTGAAATGCAAACACTTGAAGGATTCCATAGTTGTCTCGCTTGTGAGTGCTCATGTCTTAATATCAGAAGAGTCTTACTCATAGCATCAGTTTCTGTGTGCAGAACTCCCTATTGAGCCCTTTGTGACTTCCAGTCCTGTCTTTAATAGGCATTCCATGAAGAATATTCCAGGCTCTATCAGCTTGCCAAGGAGACCCCTACCTCTCACAGTGACCCTCGACTTCAGCATGTCCTTGTCTACTTTTTCCAAAATGAAGCACCCAAAAGGGTGGTAGAACGGACCCTTTTGGAACAGTTTGCTGATAAAAATCTCAGCTATGATGAAAGGTGAGAAGTGACTATTTGCGTGGCTAGCACCCTTGTGGTCTAGCTACGTGAATTCTTCTTTCTGGTGGGGAAACTGCTGCATTCCTTCATTGCTTTCTGAAACTTGCCCCTACAGATCAATCAGCATTATGAAAGTGGCTCAAGCTAAACTGAAAGAAATCGGTCCAGATGATATGAATATGGAAGAGTACAAGGTGAAGTCTTTTTTAAAATCTCTGGATAGTTTGTAAGCTTTAATATTAATTCCTGAGATACTTGATACATGAGGCAAAACTAGTAAATTTGTGTTATTACAGAATTTGTTTTCTTGAAAAAAAAAAAAACACCTTCCAATAATCTGAAAGATTATAGACAGTCTATTCTTAAGCTCAGAAGAATCAGTACCTGTCTTCTTTTGTTCCATTCTTCTCTGATGGCCCAGAGGTAAGAAGCTTTACTGCCTCCAAAAAGCGACTGGATCATCAATGAGTCGGTTCTGACTTGACGGCACCTAACAGCAACATTAGAATGAATGAATATTTCAGTCTCCCAGAACACCCACTTTGTTCTAGGCAATAAGATTCTTGAAATCATAGTTTAGGTTAAATATTACAATTTGCTGATATGCATTTATGTGTTGGGAAATGTGAGGATGGCACAGGATAGGATATAATGGTACATTAAAAAAAATTCTACCTAGAACAAACTTAAGGACCCCCAGTGGTAAGCCATCGGGAGTGGTGGCCTAGTAATAAGAAGTGGTACTGCCAGCTCTTAAGGCAGGTGGTTTGAATCCACCAGGTGCTCCTCCACCGGAGATGGCAGAGTCTATGCCTATTTGATTTACAGCCTCTGATAACTCACTCGAAGGTTGTTTCTGACTTGATGGCAGTGAGTTGTTGTTTTGTGCAGTAAGCTATCAGTCCCTAGTGGTGCCATGGTTGAGCACTTGACTCCTAACCCGAAGACTGATAATTTGAATCCACTAACTCCTCTGGAAGAAAGAAGTGATAGTCATAAGATGATATGGCCTTGGAGACCCTAACGAGTGTTCTTCTCTAGCCTATAGGTCACTCAGGGTCTGTGCTGACCTGACAGTTGGAGTGGTGGTATTCTGTTCTGTGTGACTCCAGCACTGTTTTGTCTTTCCAGTTACTCATGTGAGCAGTGTTTTGACAACTTAAATGATAATTGTTTTACGCCAAAGCTAAATGCCTACACCTTTGAAATTAAGACCTAGAGCATATTTTTACATTTTTAACATATAAATATATGTGTTTTCTGTAGAAAGATCAAGAAGTTAAAATTAAGATCAGAAAATCTGAAAGATTTTGCCTTTGTTTTATGTGCTTAATAACTATTTGTATGACATTTTAAACTTCTTGCAATGGAAGGTTAGAAATAGTTTTGTGATTATCATCATTAATAGTCATCATTCCTTTTCAGAAATGGCATGAAGATTATAGTTTGTTTCGAAAGGTGTCTGTGTATCTCCTAACAGGCTTGGAACTCTATCAAAAAGGAAAGTACGTTGGTCTTTTATTTTACTAAGACTATATAGATCAGTATTTGTTTATTGAATCCCAAGAATCACAGCTTTAAGCCATGTTCCTTGTCACAAAATTCAGTGTGTGTCTGATCTTTCTGGTATTAACTTTTCATTTCTGCTCTCAACACTATACATATTTCTTACTACTTCCCATAATGATAGCTTTATTACTATAAAGGTAGAGAGCTCTGGTAAGAAACTGCACTGCAATCCAGAAAGCAAGTAGTTCGAATCCAGCAGCTGCTCCCTCCTGTGCGATTCATTGCCTCTGAAAACCTACCGGAGGGTCAGCTATGCGTCGGTTCTGACTCTACGCTACTCAACAACTAAAGGTGTACTGTGCCAGACTTTCCATATAATAAATGAAGGTAAACTCAGAAAGTGAATTTTAGAGTTGGCGTGAACCTTAATTCATAAGGAAACAATCTTTGCGATGAGGAAGCTAGTCTCTGGAGGTTTCCTGATGGGCCCATTTGTGGTTTGGCAGGGCTGGCTTTAGTCTTTGGTTCTCAGCCTTTCCTTGTGTGCCTTTCTGCTTCCATGTTTAAAGCCCTTTCATCTGTGAAGCAAAGGAGATTCTGTGTTGAGGAACAGTGACATCTAAACTCTAGACTTTGAGGAAGAGCACTCAGCTGTTTTCTTCCATTTTCTAAGGTACCAAGAGGCCCTCTCATACCTGGTGTATGCTTACCAGAGCAATGTGTCTCTACTCCTAAAGGGGCCCCAGCGGGGAGTCAAGGAGTCCGTGATTGCTTTGTATCGAAGAAAATGCCTTCTGGTATGTGCTGTTTGTAAGACTTTAAGATTTTCTTTTCTTAGGTTTACTTCTTTCTTAAAGCCATGAAGATATATAACTTAAATACAATCATTATCTCCAAGGGGGGAAGGGGTGGGAGCCGAGGGGTGAAGATGGGTAGCGGCAGGACCACAGGGTTGCACAGTTTGTGGTTAGAAGGAGGAGGGTAAGGAAATAGAAAAGGCCTGGGTGAAAAGATGGGGTAATGATGAGCAAGGCCCAAAGATGATTATTTTTATAACAATGCATGAGAATGATTGTATGAAACAATGTGAATGAAGAATAGTGTGAAACACAATGTATATGAATTTTGTAAGCAAACCAATGAAAAATTATTATCTCCAATATGTTTTAGACTCCTTCTAGAATCTCAAGAATGGCTCTACCATAGAAACGAGTTCTTTAGAGTTGTATAGGCTCTTTAAGTAGGGATTTAACTTATTCAAACTTTATTCTCCCTTATAAATTTTATAAATTTTCATTGAGAATATGCACATGATATGCGTTTTGATTCACTTGTTTCTACATGTATGATTTAGTGACATTGGATTATATGCTTTAAATTGTTCAACTGTTCACCTTCCTTTTCTGAGTTATTCCTCCCTTATTAACAGATTCACTGCTCACTAAGGTTTTTTCCTAATGTTTTCAGTTGCAGTCATCAGTTACATCTCATATAAGTAGTTCTTAAAAGAGCAAAATGTTTAAGGTAGACCTTTCTTTAAAACTAGTTATGCTCATTTTTAGTATGGCTTTAGGGGTTACTTTTATTTAAAGATTATCATAGGGCAATTTTAGAGATTCATCTACCCTCTGTGGCTCCAGAATGTCTAGGGTTCCTGAGAATTTGGAATTTTGTTTTTATTCAGACTTTCTCCACTCTGCCCTTTTTTTTTTTCAGGAGCTAAATGCCAAAGCAGCTTCTCTCTTTGAAACAAATGATGACCACTCTGTAACCGAGGGCATAAATGTGATGAATGAGTTAATCATTCCCTGCATTCACCTTATCATCAATAATGACATCTCTAAGGATGACCTGGATGCTATCGAGGTCATGAGAAACCATTGGTGCTCTTACCTTGGGAAAGACATTGCAGGTGTGTTATTAGTACTTATAATCATTTCTAAGGATTTTTAAGAAGTCTCAATATTACAGTGAGCTCCAGCTGTGTAATCCCTGAGGGTTGCACTGCTCTCACAAAACCTCCAACTCTCCAGCAGTTCACAGCCACCAGTAGATCAGAGGGAGAGAGATGGGCAGCCTCCTGCCCTGTGATCCCAGGTGGAACCAGCTTGGTTGGGGAAAAACAGGCTCTCTAGGAATGAAAAGATTTCATCACTTTTTCATCTGCTAAAATCTGAACTCTCATACAGTTTTAAATTTTTCATTTATTCAGAATTTGATTACTTGGTGATACCGTAAGTAAATTTTCCTGAGTTCAATTTTAACAATCATAGCTGTGAGGTTAATAAATTAGTACATGAAAGATCCTTATTCATCAAAAACATCTTAGGCTGAGAGCCTTTAAAGTGCATTAGGTAAATTTAGAAAGTTGAAAAATTCTATCATTTTTATCTCACTGATATATAGTTATTCCAGTGCTTGAGCGTATAACCTTTGTTGAGAAATTGTCAAATAACAGGTAGTTATCATATTTCCTTTTAATGTATTCAATTTGCACATGGAGGTGCTGATATATTTTAATTGCTAGAGCGTAGTAAGTTGTATTTATAGTATACAGTATCATATTTACTTTCTCCAATTTTAAAAGTATAATTGATTAGAAGATCTGTCCATAAGGAATACATATATGACATTATTCTGCCACAAGTCATTACGCTGCTGACCAGCAGAGCACTTTGGTCTTTGGAATTGGGTGGTGGTCTTTGAATGCTTTCTGGAATAGTTGCAGGCATATTTTCTACTTGAAGATCTTTTTAGCTTGGCATGTAACTATCCCTTTTCCTCCACAGAAAATCTTCAGCTCTGCTTAGGGGAGTTTCTACCAAGGCTTCTGGATCCCTCTGCAGAAATCCTTGTCTTGAAAGAGCCTCCTACTATTCGGCCCAATTCTCCCTATGACCTTTGTAGTCGATTTGCAGCTGTCATGGAGTCAATTCAAGGTGTTTCTGCAGTGACAGTGAACTGAGCCCCAGTGTGTTGAAGGCCATCTGGTCTCTGCGTGCCTCCCCTTGCACACAAATCCCTTGTTACAGTGTCCACCTTGGGAGAATGATTAGTTGGGTAGGTGATATTCGGGTTGAGACCCCAACCGTGCTATATTGTATATAGGATTTAAAATAAAATTGCACTTTTTAGGTTCAGAGTTTGTGAAGACTCTTTTACTAGAAAAGGCCGGACCCAGTGTATTGAGGTATTGAGTTACGTCAGAAAACCTAAAATGCCTTAGTACCTACAGGAAAGCCTGGGCTCTTCCTAGACTGCTGCCTCTTCTTATGTTTTCTTCAGGTCTAAGTATTTTTGACAGAAAAGAAAAATGATTCATCAGAATGTGACGGATGAGCAGCCATTACTTATTTTATCAAATACTAATGACATTTTAAACCTGTTAACTGCAAGAGATTAGAAACACAAACAGACTGACTTGACAAGAGATAACAAAATGGGTTGCTGGTGAACCACCACCCTTTGATGTGTGGGTGGAAAATAAGGGCTGTGTGTCAGTGAGAGGTTGACAAATCAAGAGAATTTTCTGCCTCTTTATTTTCTTCTTTCCCCTCTTTTACATTTTTTTTTTTAAATAAAGCACAAAACCTCATCTTCTGTCCTGAGTAAAAGAAAGGAAAGCATTATCAACCTTCACTTGCGATAATGTTTAGTAGTTTTTAACCATTTAGGTTAAATTTTGCTAGCATCTGAAAACTGTTAAAAAACAGGTATCTAAGGCTGCTGCTGGCCCCGAAGAACATTTTGACTCCTTCTTTAAATAATACAGGATGTAGATTTGTAGAAAGGAAAAAAAAAAAAAGTATGTATGTGTATATGTAAAAAGAAATATCCCTGTTGCCCTTTTTTTAAAGCCTCTTAATTGGGTATTGTTTTAGCCAAATTTTAAAGATCAATGGAGGAATGGTGGGAGGGAGGACCACTTGATTTAACTATGCAGATTTTATAAATGTGCAATAAAATGTTTGTCTTACCTTTGGTGTACAGCATGACTTCTCTTTTTTAATGTTTTTACCATTTTAGAAATGTCTGGGCCCAGTAAGTATGTCTATTATTTCAATTTTTCTCCTTTAAAAGTTAGCAGATAAAGATTTGAGAAGCTTGATAGTTGTCCTGTTTGGAATAAGAACAGGGAGCACTCAGTTCCTGAGCATCACCTAGTGGTAGGTGATAACATCTCATCTCACTTGCCAGTTGTCTTCTTGTTATTATCTCCACTCTAAAACTTGTCTTGTTTTCCTAAACATTGACAGTAAACCACTTTTATAAATGTTTTGTTGTTGTTAAGGTTACTTCATAGCTACCCTATGTACATAAGCACAAACCCTGCCCAGTTGTGTGCCATTCTCACAATCTGCTGTGCTTAAGACCCTTATTGCAGAAGTGCTTTTTGTTTGAAATCCTGAAGGCACACAGTTTGAATCCACCAGCTGCTCTGCAGGAGAAGGATGAGCAGTCTTCTCCCATGCGATTAACTGCCTCTGAAAATTGCACCCAACAATAGACCTCGGAAGTAGAATAGCACACTAATCTTTGATGTGTCCAACTTCAAAGCCTATATGCTTTTAGCAAGTGCACAACTGTCCCTGGTGTTCTCAGAATATATTTTGCCTTGTACCTTTTTCACATGTTATTCCTACTCCCTGGTCATTGACTGCAGCCATGGGCTCCACTGTGTCAGAGATTGTGAGGATGGCACAGAATAGGGCAGGTTTCCAATCTGTTGTTCATGTCGTCACTGTGGGTTGTACTCAACTTGACAGCACCAAGTGGGGATCCTTAGGAATATTTGTGTGATTCAAGATCCAAGGGAAATCCACAGCATGCAGAGATACTTGGATCTACCCATGCCACCAGTGGAAGTGTGTTGAGGCTTATTTCCCAGAGGGAAAGTCCTTCAAGGTTTGTGTTTGCAAACTGAAAAACAGACCTGAAGACAAACTGAGAGACATTAGTTTTTTGGAACAGAATGCTTCCTGGCTGGGAGAAAGATGCAGCACTGCACAAATTTCAGTGGTGGCAAGTGAGAGAATGACTGCTTAAGGGGAGTCGGGTGGGTGAGCAGCTAGCATTTTACACACCTACACAAACCACCCCAATACATAGCAATGGGTTGTGTGAAACGGTAGAAGAGGATTCAAGAAAAGGTGCCCTTTCAAGAAAAGGTGGGTACTTCTGTGAATGTGTAAATTTGGGGAAAGAAAGAAAAAAAGGTCTTACATTGTTCTCACCTGTATTTAGTTAAGTTATGAGTTCTGCTCCATGGGGTGATGTTTGAAGCTCAAATAAAAACATCCCTAAATGTGTCACAATGATAAGGCCTTCCCTCCTATGATTTCTGATCCAATTTCTGAGGCATGTGATCCAGTAAACCCCTTACCATATTGTTGATGTTGATAAGGGCTCGAGGGCAGTGTGGGCCCGGCATGGGAATAATATCCTAGTTAGAGCTAAGGGATGCCTCACGTCCTTACATTCGGTGTTCAGTGTCAATTCACCTATGTCCAGTGAGACTCGAGTTCAAGAAAGACTCTAAAATTACGTTCATGACTGTCCGTCCTGCAAGTCAATCTTCATGTGTGTACTGAGGGTCAATACACAAATCCTCCCTTGACCTTCCTCCTGCCCCATCCACTGTGAGTTTTAAATGTTTCCCGAGGGGATGTGAGATTCATAAGCCCTTTCCCGCACTCCATATTAACACTAAGGAGGCCTTTCTTCGGAGTGAGTTCCCATGTGCTGCTTGAGGCTGGTGAGTTCACTGAAGCCCTTCCCACACCGTGTGCATTTGTATGGCCTCTGCAGAGTCGGTACGCAGGTGCCTGTCAAGGTGTGCTTTCGGGGCGAGGAGTGCTGCACGAAGCCTTTCCCGCAGTCTGCGCGCGGGAGGCCTGTCTCGTGTGCGTACAGACGTGCGCTGCCAGCGTGGACTGCTAAGCGAAGCCTTTTCTGCAGTGTGCACACTTCTAAGGCCTCTTCCCCGTGTGCGTCCACCTGATGAGTGCTGAGTGAAGCCTTCTGGGTGCAGGGATAAAGCCACTGTCTGGTGTGCCTCTGCGTATATGCAGCTAAGAGGGAGGAGCACCGGAAGGTCTTCCCACATTGCTCACATCCATCAGTGAGGCTAACTTCCATCACTGACATGTCTACGATTGTGAAGCAGCAGAAAAGGCTTTCTTTCCACTTGCATTGCATTCACTGGGCTCCCCACGGCAGGGAGTGATAACGCCTTTCGGGAACGTTCCATCTGTTTGTGAGTCTCATTTCTGTTTTGGACAGGGTAATGTTCCATGCTGGCGGCAGGAGGTCTGGGGGTCTCTGCACGCTCGTCATGGCCGTGCTTTCAACGTCTCAAATATCCCGCTTGGTTTGCACGTTGACCCTCATTTCCACGTGATTTAGAGATTTCCCTGGACTGGCAGAAGATGTTGGGCTTCTTTCTGAATGTCACTGTTGTTTGTTTAGTGGATACTTTCTGCCCATCACACACGGTTTCAATGACTACTGCATCCAGATTTCATGACATCGCCGTAAAGTTTCTTCTGCGCAAGGCTGAGCAGAGAGAGCCCATTTGGCTGAACGCCACCAACACATCTTTCATGGCCCGCGGATAAAGGGAATGGGGTGTGCAAACGCCAAGGGGCCACGTAATGGACAAGAGCGGAAGCAGGATGCTAGGTGGCTTGGAAGCCGAGAATTAATGCTTTCTCCCCACAGCTACTGTCATGCCCACTTGAGGTTTGTGGGTATGCAAGAGGGTCGTCCTAGATGTCCAGCTGTCCCAACTGAAGTCGCCGTCCCTCCTGCACACTTGAGACCTCACACACGAGGGTGAGCTCAGCCTAGGAGGAGGCTGCAGAAGGAGGAGCTCTACTTCCAGTTCCCGGGCAGGTCGGGCCTCGCTCAGCTGCATTTATTATTATTATTATTGAAATTTTGATGGACGTTTACAGAGTTTTGATTTAAAGTCATATATTGTTGCACAATTTCCTCCCTGCCCACCCCGCGCCCCCCAGTTCTCTTTTTTCTTTGGAAAAAAATTTTCTTTCATTGCCAAATAATCCCTTCTTCCCAGCCCACTTTACTATGTATCTCTTATTCTGGATTCTTGCCATAAAAATAATACCTAATCATATATTCCTTTTATACAGTTCTCTTCCTCATCTGTCTCAATGCAGTATACATAATTTATCCCCTCTTTTCTTAGGTTCCCCCAGCCCTGATGTTGCACTATGCAATATTTGTTCTTTTGTGACTGAGATATTTCACTCAACATAATGTCCTCTAGGGTCACCCATTTTGTATAATATTTCATGAGTTCCTTGTTTTTCAATGCAGCATAGTATTCCATTGTGTGACTATAAGACAGCTTTTCTACCCATTCATTTGTTGATGGGTACTTGGGTTGTTTTCAACTCTTTGCTATTTTGAACAAAGCCACAATAAATATGGGTGTGCATATATCTGCTTGGGAGGTAGTTCTGGTTTCTTTAGGATATATTCCCACTAGTGGAAATGCTGGGTCAAATGATATTTCTATTTCCAACTTTTTTTTTTTATTTCAATGAACATCTACAGAGATTTCAGAATTCCATTCATTCATTGTTGCACTTTTCTCACCGCCCACCCCCCCTGCCACCCCCCATTCACTCCTTTCCTTGAAAAGCAAAATAAAAACTCCTTCATTGATACACAATCCCCCCACAGACCCCCCACTCCACCCCAAATATAATCCACTCTGCAACCCTCATTCTGTACTCTTATGATAAACATAATGCCCTAAGAAAAACTGGATAAATTCTATTTACTGCATTGAAGTCTATTTCCAACTTTTTGAGAAAGCGTCATACTTCCTTCCAGAGTGCTTGCACCATTTTACACTCCCACCATCGGTGAATAAAGGTTCCAATTTCTCTGCAACCTTGCCAGCATTTGGTTGCTGTTCTATTTTGCTATTCTGACTGGGGTGAGATGATATCTCATAGTTGTTTTTATTTACATCTCTCTCTCTTAGAGCTAGGGATTTTGAACACTTCTTCACGTGTTTGTTCACCAGCTGAATGTCTTCTTTGGTGACACATCTGTTCATATCCTGTGCCCATTTTTCAATTGTTTATCTTGTGGTGCTAGAGTATTCTGTAAATTCTATATATAAGTCCCTTATTAGACATGTCATTACCAAATATTTTTCCCCAACATATGTGGCGTCCCTTTTTTACCTTGTTGGAGAAGTTTTTGGATATGCATAGGGATTTGATTCTTAGAAAGTCCTATTCATCTATTTTATCCTCTCCTGGTTGTAGGTCAGCTGCTTTTAAGGAGTC